CGAGGCACCAGCGAGTCAACCCTCGGAAGTTGAAGTAACTGTCGGAGGTTACGCGAAAGTCAAAGGTCAGCAACCTTTGACCTGACAAATACAGCGTGACAGCAAGGACACACAACTGACTCGTTACAGAGCAGTTGCCCGAGTCGTCACTGTATCAAACCGCAACAGCAACAGTAAAGTAGTTATAACTGTGTCTTTTCATATTCCCTATATTCATATATAATCTTGTATCTCTTTGCTTTAGGCAACTTACTTTGCCCTCACATACTAGCGCAAGGTGGTTCACAACCCTTTAATTAAAGCTTCCGCTACTACACCAACTCTACCCAGAGTTCACCCCTGCAAAGATCCAAAGGTGCTCTTCAACCCAACAAGTTACAAGTTTTTTTGGCGGGAGTTACATGTGTGACCATTCGTATGATTTTTTACCTGTTGATAGTGACTGAATCCATGACCCCGCTTACCAAGCCCGTCAGAAAACCCGATACAGTGACCGTACGCGTTTGTTTTTTTTTACCATTCACGTTATCGAGTCCCAAGTTGGTTACTTGTTGCATATTCTCCCTAATACTTTTGTATAAAAGTAATTACTGTACTGTTGTGAGATCTGTAGTTCTGCCTGAAACGTCAGGCAACCTGACCAGACATGACAAGTCAATCTGCAGCCAATCCAGTGCGCATGGCGCTGGTGCAGTTTCAGTCCCGGAGATCTTTTCGATCGCAGGGGATCCGGCTGCGAGGATTTCGTTGCGAAAGTACGATGCTGACTCGAGCAGGAAAGCCTGACTTCACGACGACGACTCGCTCTGCGACCAGTTGCGATCAGCGGTCGTCCAAATTCCCAGCAACAAGAGCAGCTCTATTAGTCTTCTTCGTCGTCTCAGCCTTCTGCTTCGCTAAGCCTCTCACGCCATGTTCAGCCATAATCGAGTCGAGAGTCCACACCCTCAGCTCCATTGCAATAATTAAACACTAATACAGCTGAAAATTATGTTGGGATTGTTGATTCAGATAAATGAAATTCACTAACCAGCAATACAAGATGCCAGCAATTCAAATAGCTCCAAAGTATTTACACTGAGAAAAAATCGTCATCAATACTTGGGATTCACCACATATCCCATGGTTCAGTTGTTATCGCAAGTTCTTGCTCACCAAGTCCAGGAAGCAGCATTTCCAGCCCCTCCATTCCCCACACATCTCCCTCCAGCTGAAAATCCGCATCATCGGAACCCATAGAGACAAGCTCAGCCCCACATTCTCCCAAGGAGCTATTGCTTTCAGGACTCATCTCTCCACTACTCTCCCCCGCTTCAAGAACCTTGCTGCTGCTGCTGCCCCCGTCCAACCCTTCTGAACCCTCGTTCTTGTTTGCCTCGCTTCCATTTCCCCGCAGGCACGCGCGTTTCTCACCACCATTTACATCACCCTGCAACGCATCGGACCCATCTCCACCACGGTCTTCCTCGCATCGCCCCCGTTTCCCTGGGCTCATGCAGCTCTGCTCACTCACCCCATGCATCCCCTCCGATGCTGCTTCGATCCCTCCTGCCTGAACGCCCAGGGATTCACCTTCAGGTGCCATTGCAATGTCTGATGACCCTTCTATATTCACCTGGACTGTGCCTGGTGACGTGGCAGGGGTAGCTGCAGAGTCACAACCCTGCACTGCCACATGGAGCTTGGAGAGCTTCATGTAATGCTCCAGGAGAATCTGCTGGGGGTTGCTCAACGTTGGGAGCGAGCTCACCTGTGGGTAAGCTGCTGACAATTGTGGTGTTGACGGGTGCGATGCAGTCGAGTGCGGTGCTGATGGGTTTGATGCCGACGGCTGCATCGGTGATGGAGCAACAGGGATGGCAGGCGGCTGACAGCGCTGGGGCTTCTGCAGCGAAGCAGCCGCAGGCAGACTGAACGGCGGCAGCGTCTGCATCGCTCCCAGCACCTCAGTCACTCGTGTCCTCTGACTCGCCCATGCAGAGGCTGCCGGAATTGTTTCAGGGAGCTTCGCCGTAAGCGCCTGAAGAGCTGGCAGCAGGCTGAAGGGTGATGGAGAATTGGGGGAGGCCTGCGATTCCAGTGTGGAATGACACGCATGACGATGGGGTGAGGATTGCTGGGGTAGGCGCGGAGGGTTCTGCTGCTGCTTCACCTGCTGCAACAGGTGCTGCTGTTGCTGAAGCTGCTCGCAATGCCACGCCTGGTGCGCTCCTTCCGCTCGCTGCTGCTGGGAAAGGAAGAACGGGAACAACGCGTGCTCCTCAAGGCTCGAAATCTTTTCCTCGAAGGGCGTCTTCGCGCATCCCGCCCCGTCCGCGTCGGGCCTCGCGAGGGGAAATCCATTGAGCGGTGAACGAGTTAGTAACGCCTCGCGGGTCTGGCGGCTCGCCGCCGCGATAGTCCCGCATTGAGTCGTCGCGACAGCTGACGGGGTGCTTGTGATTGGTTGCTGCGCGCCGATTCCGCGAATCGCGGCGAGTTTGCGCAACTCCTGGATCTCGAGCATGAAGCGCGCGAGCCATGGCGACGGGCTGCTGGGAAGGCCGCTAGTTCCGCCGCAGGCGCTGGCACCGAAAGCAGTAGCAGTGGGAATAGCGGTAGGAATTGGAGGAGTAGCAGCTGTAGGAGCAGCACTAGGGGCAGCGGTGGGGGCAGGAGTTGGGAAGTTTGAGAACCTCGGGAAGCTGTTAACGCCGCCGCTGTCGCGGAGGCCGTTGCGGAGGTGATAGCTCCACGATGTGCTTGTATCGGGGACGGCGATTGGCTTTGCTCGAGAGTGAGTCGCAAGAGCCACCGGTGACACCGCGACGGGATCAATTCGACTTCCGCCACTCGCGGCGGCGCTCGGGACAGACGATTTAAGTTTCTCGGCGTTGGCGGAGGGGGAACGTGAACTTCCGTTCGGCGCAGGCGCAGGCGCCGGGGTAGCGGGGAAGTTGAGCACGGCCTCCGCTCCGTACAGCTTCCGCGCAGCGCGGTCGTACGCACGCGCAGCTTGCTCCGCGGACACGAAGGAGCCAAGCCATAGGCGCACCTTGCGCCGCGGCTCGCGGATCTCCGCCACCCACGTCCCCCACGTGCGCTGCCGCACGCCGCGGTAGCGGAAGAGGGAGTTATCGGGCCCGCCGCGCGCTGCTGCTGCTGCTGCTGCGGCGGCGGCTGCTGCTGCTGGTGCTGCTGATTCCGCTGCTGTGATCGTCGCGAGGCTTTCCATTCTATAGTCGGGGACTCTTCGGAGACTTAGAAAAGAACAAAAAATCCCGAATTTAAATCGATGTGTACGCGCCTAGCGAACCTGCGTTGCAGCTGAGTTCAGTCGTCGCTACTATGAGTGGACAAAGGCTTTCTGACAGGCGTGAGTGAGAGTGTCGTTTAAGTCAATGAGCTGAGTGAATGCTTCGTAAGCAGTCGCGTTGGACTCTGCTGTCGAGCTGACCTTTTGAGTGATCTCAAATAACTGAGCGAACTACGGAGAACAAACAAACGAGACTCCGTGTCGTAGGAGCTCGGAACTGACGCTGTCGCGCTGGACGCGGGCGGTTATGAACGACGATGCAGTCACTGCAAGCCGTAACATGGGAAATCGTTGCAAAATGAACTACCATCTTCCGAGCATCGTTGTAATAGTCTGTTACCGGTATGCGCTGCTCTGGACTGCTGTGCCCTTCATTGCTCCCATGAATGCAAAGATCGTCTCGTCGCTAACTCGTGGCTGTTGGCCATCGTGGATCGTCGTCGCGCCTCAGTAACGAAGCTCTCAAGAGCTATGCGAGCAGGACAGGCGTTGCAATGAGACTTGCACAGATACGACGACCGCAAGTCGCTATGACCCACCCGTGGGACGACGGGGCGGCGAGAGTCACCCTCAATCTTATTAGTCGCATGTGCCGCGGCCACACGGAATCATACCATCGTACTACCGCACTTCCAACGTCTGATGTGTCTCTTGGATGCATCAAGGTCCAGCTTGAGACTTTCCTGAGCTGGTTTGCGGGATTTGGGTAAAATGGCGGTGACTTCACATTCGTGGAATGGAGGGGAATATCGTGAGATACGGAAAAGAAACAGAAATGGATCTTGGAGCACATGGAATTTGCTGATACGTTTGTAAGAGGATCAGCTTTGCAGTGAAGGCAATTCTGTGCAGAGAGGATGTAAGAAATTGGAATTTCGGGACGACAATTGGTGCGAATCGCGTTGGCAGAATTGCGCAGTGGAGGCGCATAGCGGATCGCGGATATTGTTATGAGCGCATTTTGCATTATTACTGGCGCGAAATACAAAATCTGGGCTGTGTAGTACCTTTGTAAAAGTCTTTACTGTACTTACGAGTCAGTTCTGCCCGGAACGTCAGGCAACCTGACCTCATATGAAAAGTACAAAATCTCCATCTAGTGCGCATGGCACTTGTGCAGTTTCAATTCCGAATTTCTATCCAATCGAGTCTGGTGCATCAGTCGGTTCGCATTGCACCCAGTCCGTTGACTCATCTGCCACAAGAAACAGCTGTTCCTCAACCGTGCAAACGGAAACGTTCAAACTGTAGTGATGCGATAAGAAAGGGACACTCTCACCGCCATTACTGTGGCGATAGATATCTGCGATGGGATTCCATGAGCCCAGCGTGGACGAGCTTCACGTGCTCGTTCCGCAGAGCCAATGAAACGTGAGAAGCTGTAATCGTGCTGGCACACCCTACCAACATTGACCACCATTTCCGTATCCGCTGGATCCGGCGCGGTCGCCTTCACCACTAGGAGGTATGGCAAGGTCCAGATCGGACAAGCGCAACCACGATATCCTCTATAGAAGCCGACTGAAGAGCCACACAATGAATGTGTCTCAACGCGAAGTTTCATTCGTAACGTGTCAACAAACACAGTGGTACTATCATTGGTAAGAAAACATCAGCAGCACGCCAAGATTGATTAACATGAAATGAAGTATTTATAGTGTTCAAACACAACATTGTGCAAGCTACGAATAACAGGCGCCACCAATCACTCGAAGGGGTTGATACGCGGATCGTGCTCTGTGGCAAGTGCCATGCCCGTGCACAAGCAAGTAGGGCACATCACCTGAATGTGGCAAAGGAATGAAGGTGGGGAACGGATGAATGGTACATGACATGAAAGGAAGATTATACAAGGCTGAATGAATATTTTCAAAACACGAGCACTCAGCAAATTCTTATTAAGACATTTCAGGCCTCGGATCGCCCTTATGCCTTGTCCCTAGTGTTCCTCATCTGTCAAACAAAAGCCCAGACGTCCATTTCTCCAACCCCATGCATGCACATGCCCCGCATTCCGATCCCCACGCCCCTCCTCACCTTGCGCAGACCAGCACAGTTGGGACACCGCTTGGCCACCTTCATGCCTTGCCGCCCAGCAGTAACTGCTCCCTCTGCTCCTGCTCCCTCAGCTGCCGCTGCAAGCGCCCCATTGGCTGCTCCTCGTGCTGAACCCTCCCCCTCCAACTGCACGTCGATCAGCGAGCCTGTGGCAGCGCAGCGCGCACAGGCCAGGTAGCCTGGAGATGAAGGGGAGAGGGGAGGAGAAAGTGCAATAT